TGGAGACCATCCTGGTCAACATGGTGAAACCCCATCTCTACTAAAAAATACAAAAATTAGCTGGGCATGGTGGCATGTGCCTGTAATCCCAGCTACTCAGGAGGCTGAGGCAGGAGAATTGCTTGAACCCAGGAGGCGGAGGTTGTGGTGAGCCGAGATCGCGCCATTGCACTCCAGCCTGGGTAACAAGAGCGAAACTCCGTCTCAAAAAAAAAAAAAGAAAGAAAGAAAAAGAAAAAGAATTAAATTGTGAATAGAAAATTAGGATGAGGGTGTTTGAAGGGCCTCATGCAAGTGTGGAGCCTAGGACTTCAGCTTCATTAACTTCAAGGTCAGTCTGAGCCTGCTGCCTGTGGACTGGGTTTGTCTTGCTTGGAGTCCAGTTTTGTTTCCAAACTGATTAAATTAGATGTCTTTCCTTCTTTCCTTTTGCAAGTATATTAACATTTAAGAATTGAAGGCTGGGCACAGCCTCACGCCTTTCCAGCACTTTGGGAGGCCAAGGCAGGCAGATCACGGGGTCAAGAGATGGAGACCATCCTGGCCAACATGGTGAGACCCATCTCTACTAAAAATACAAAAATTAGCTGGGCATGGTGGCACGAACCTCTAGTCCCAGCTACTCAGGAGGCTGAGGGAGGCTGAGGCAGGAGAATCGCTTGAACCCAGGTGGCATAGGTTGCAGTGACCCGAGATTGCCGCGACACTGCACTCCAGCCTGGAGACAGAATAAGACTCCGTCTCAAAAAAAAAAAAAAATTGAGCAGGCCTTCCATAATATATATAGTCTCTCTCTTTCTCTCTTTCTCAGTCGCTCTCTCTCTTTTTTTTTTTTTTTTTTGCAAAATTACTCTAGTTTAACCCCTCCCTACTTCAAATCACACACTTGCATTATAGGAACACAAAGGATGCCAACTTCCTCCAGCACCTCGTCTGCAGTGCGGAGGCTGGGGCACTGAATGGGGTAACAGGGAAGTGGGGAGCTAGAAGGAATCTTCCAGCTGTTGTTGAGTCTGTCTGTCCCAGGCATGGTGTTAGCTGATTACAATGTGTTTCTTTGCCCTTTTGCCTTTTGCCAGGGCGAAGGGCAGACACTCCCAGGGTCTCCTCAAAACAACTCTGATTTTAAGAGGCAAATGCCAGAACACCACAAGTTGCAGTTCAAATATGAAACTGTCAGCAGAGTCATTTTGGCATAAAACCCACTGTATTAGTTGGTCTCCCAACAGGAAACAGATGGCATATTCAAAATAGGAGCATTGCAGGAGAGTTTATTTGCAAAGATGTGGGTGTCGGGGAACCACAAAGGATGGCGCAGTAGCCCAGAGTTTAGCAGCAGCCAGGTGGTGCCCCCAGGAGGCTTGAAGGGATGGAGGGGAGAACAGTCACTGGCACCCACAGGGAGAGAGCTGTGCTGCAAGGCTCCAGGAAGAGAACACGTCACTGTCCCTTGAGGGAACAGCCAGCCAGGGAAATAAACACCACGACCTTCCTCTCTTCTCTCCTCTGGCCATCTCCCACGGGAGTTTGTGGATGTGGACCACACAGTCAGCCTCAGAGGGCAGGGTGGAGACGGCGGGGGGGTGCATGTGGAGGGACAAAGAAAAGGTGAATGGCCCAGCCCAGCCCTTTGACCCCTCAGCACCTGTTCTAGACTTTTGTCCAGGTGAAGAGCTTGTCCACTCAACACAGGGGATCCGTAAGTCACAGTAGCTATCATATCATTGTGGGCTGATGTCAATCAGTCATACTCCCAGCTAAAATCACGGGTGTTCCTCAGTTAAGGTCATGAGTAAAAGGGGGTGCAACGCAGTGAAATTTTTTCTTTTTTGAGATGGAATCTCGTGTTGTCACCCAGGCTGGAGTGCAGTGGGATGATCTCTGCTCCTCCTGCAACCTCCACCTCCAGGGCTCAAGCGATTCTCCTGCCTCAGCCTCCAACATATCTGGAGTTACAGGTGCACACCACCACACCCAGCTAAATCTTGTGTATTTAGCAGACACAGGGTTTTGCCATGTTGGCCAGTCTGGTCTTGAACTCCTGACCTCAAGTGATCTGCCTGCTTCAGCCTCCCAAAGTGCTGGGATTACAGGCATGAGCCACCGAGAGCCTGCCCAACGGAGTGAATGTTTACGTCTCCTCAAAATTCCTCTGTTGAAATCTTAACCCTCAAGGGGATGGTGTGAGATGGGGCCTTTGGAGGGCACGAGGATGGGACCTTTATGAGTGGAATTAGGGTTCTTATAAAAGAGACACCAGAGGAATCCCTTGCCCCTTCTGCCATATGAGGCCACATGAAGAAGATGGTGTCTATGTGCCACAAAGCAAGGTTTCATCAGATGCCAAATCTGCTGACCCCTCAATCCTCCAGAACTGTGGAAATAAATGTCTGTGATATATACTACATCCAGTCTATAGTAGTCTGTTACAGCAGACCAAATGGATGAAGATGGGGAAGAAAAAAAGCCCCAAATTCATGAAATGCAGCTGCTACAGCCCGCACCTCCTTAGCCAGCCCCAAAACCTAGGCAGGCAATCGTAACTTCCATTCTGTGCTCGCCTTACTGCTGCTGGCACCTTTCTGGACAGGGTTCTCTTTCTGGTGAGGTGACCCAAATCTTCATTCCTGCAGGGGCTGAGTTCTTGGCTGCTACAGTCATTTGAACATTGTCCCCACCAAAACTTTGAAGCTTGGTCCCAGTCTAATGGTGTTGAGAAGGGGTGGGACATTTAAGGGGTGTTTGAGTCATGAGGGAGCCATCTTCATGAAGAGATGAGTGCAGGAGTATGTGAGTTCTTCTTGTTGTGGGACTCAATTAATTACTGCAGGCGCCAGTTATTACAAAGTGAGGCTGCCTCTGGCCTGGTGCCCATTTCTCCTTCCGCTTTTCTGCCATGCTTGGAGCAGCTCAAGGCCCCCACCAAATGTGGCCGTCCGTTTTGGACTTCTCAGCCTCCAGAACCTTGAGCTAAATAAGCCTCTTTCCTTTATATTCTACCCAGTTGGACTAAGACAGGTGTTTTGTTATAATAATGGAAAACAGACTCAGACGATCGCAGAGTATTGAGGGGTCGCTGCAGTTTTCCACTGACTAGGACCTCTGGACTAGGTGTGCTCCAGCGATGTCTCTGATTTGACACTGTCTTCTCAGCCCTTTCAACAGCAGCAATCCAGTTTCATCCTGTAATCAGGATCCATCCTCTACCATATATTGGCCAGTGGTTTAATGAACAAGATGTGTCTCCAGTCCCAGCGGTAGAAATCCTATAGGCAAGACTCCATCCATTGCCTGACCTCCACATGTCCCTACCTTGACTGGGAACCTTGTGAGTAGTTTAGGTCTCTGAGGATCAGTAGAGCTCAGAGCAAGATTTAATAACCCCTGGAAGGTGTGGATATTTCTATTTCCCCAGGGCCAGAAGCATATACCCAGCCCATCTTTCTTCTTAGACACATCTTGCAAATATATTTTCTTTTTTTTGAGACAGAGTCTTGCTGTGTCGCCTAGGCTGGAGTACAGTGGTGTGATCTCGGCTCACTGAAACCTCCACCTCCCATGTTCGAGCTATCCTCTCACCTCAGTCTCCTGAGTAGCTGAGACTATGGGTCCACACCACCAAGCCTGAACTTCCTGGGAATGCAGCCCAGTAGGTCTCAGCCTCATTTTACCCAGGGTAAACAAGCTGAGTGCAATGATCACAACAAGCACAGCGCCTCAGTGGTGTTTTGAACCACATGGATCTGTGCTCAAGGCAGTTGATCATATTTTTTTTTTTTTTTTTTTTTTAAAGAGACGGGGTTTCACCATATTGCTCAGGCTGGTCTCGAACTCCTGACCTCAGGTGATCCACCGCCTCAGCCTCCCAAAGTGCTGGGATTACAGGTGTGAGCCACTGCGTCCAGCCAATGTTTGATTTTAGAGTGAGTCTCTCTTTGTTGCCCAGGCTGGAGTACAGTGGCGTGATCTCAGCTCATTGCAACCTCCACCTCCCAGGTTCAAGCGATTCTCTTGCCTCAGCCTCCCAAGAAGCTGGGATTACAGGCACATGCCATCTCCCAAAGTGCTGGGATTACAAGCTTGAGCCACTGTGCCTAGCCTAATTTAATTAATTTTCAAATCAGCTAATTAAGTGAAGATACAAATTCAAAATTGCAGAGAAAGAACATCTAGATCAGGCCAAGGCTGGGCACCTAACAATGAATACCCTTTCACTTGTAATTGACATAGAAATCTATTTAAATTGCCTTAAACAACAAGGAGCAGTTATTGCTCATGTTACTGAAGATAAGTATGGTTGAGTTCAGGTGGGAAATGATGCCGCTTTCAATCAGGCTTCAGGATCTGCTCCCTTTAAATTTCAGCTCTGCTCTTCTCCGTTCTAGCTTCATTCTCAGGCTCTTTCTCCAACTAAAATGTAAAGCTTAGGCCAGGCACGGTGGCTAATGCAGGAGAATAGCTTGAAGTCAGACGTTCAAAACCAGCCTAGGAAACATAGTGAGACCCTGTCTCTATAAAACAAAATGTAAATGTATTATTAATTTTATTTTTTTAAAATATGGCCGGGCACGGTGGCTCACGCTTGTAATCCCAGCACTTTGGGAGGCTGAGGTGGGCAGATCACCTGAGGTCAGGAGTTCGAGACCAGCCTGACCAATATGGTGAAACCCCATCTTTAAAAAAAAAAAAATTCAAAAAAAAAATATGTGGCTCACACCTGTAATCCCAGCACTTTGGGAGGCCGAGGAGGGTGGCTCACGAGGTCAAGAGATCGAGACCATCCTGGTCAACATGGTGAAACCCCGTCTCTACTAAAAGTGCAAAAAAAATTAGCCGGATGTGGTGGCACATGCCTGTAATCCCAGCTACTTGGGAGGCTGAGACAGGAGAATTGCTTGAACCCAGGAGGTGGAGGTTGCGGTGAGCCAAGAATGTGCCATTGTACTCCAGCCTGGGCAACAAGAGCGAAACTCCGTCTCAAAAAATAAATAAATAAATAAATAAATATGGAAGAGTTTATGAATTTGCACATCACATTTGTGCCGGGGCCATGCTAATCTTCTCTCTATTGTTCCAGTTTTAGCATATGTGCTGCAAAGTGAGCACTGTCAATGTAAATAAAATAAAACGTCACTATCGTGAGGATAGTGACTTTCTTTTTGTTCACTATTTAATCCTCAATACTTAAAATCATATTTTATTACTGCACATAATACGCATTAAAAATTTTTGCAGGGAAAAAAGGAGGGGGGCCAGGAGTGGTGGCTCACACCTATCATCTCAACACTTTGGGAGTCTAAGGCAAGAGGATCTCAACCCAGGAGTTCAAGACCATCCTGGGCAACAAAGTGAGACACCAGCTCTACAAAAATAAAAACTTAAGAAGGGCCGGGCGTGGTGGCTCACACCTATAATCCATGCACTTTGAAGTCCAAGGCGGGTGGATCACCTGAGGTCGGGAGTTCAAGACCAGCCTGACCAACATGGTGAAACCCCATCTTTTAAAATATATATATTTTTGCCGGGCGTGGTGGCTCAAGCCTGTAATCCCAGCACTTTGGGAGGCTCAGGCGGGTGTATCACGAGGTCAAGAGATCGAGACCATCCTGGTCAACTTGGTGAAACCCCATCTCTACTAAAAATACAAAAAATTAGCTGGGCATGATGGCTCGTGCCTGTAATCCCAGCTACTCAGGAGGCTGAGGCAGGAGAATTGCCTGAACCCAGGAGGTGGAGGTTACGGGAAGCCGAGATCGCGCCATTGCACTCCAGCCTGGGTAACAAGAGCAAAACGCCATCTCAAAAAATAAATAAATAAATAAATAAATAAAATATATTTTTAAATTTAAAAAGAAAGAAGAAAAGAAGAGAAGGTGGAGGTATAGCAGCACAAGAATTCCTGAGCAGAATAAATAAAAAACAAGACTGTGTTAAATAAATACATTTTAGAGAAACTAAATAACCCCGAGGACAAAGAGATGATTTTAAAAATAACCTGAGCTTCCTTTTGAATTATTTTATCTGGCAAAAACAAACAAACAAACAAAAAACAAACACACACACACAAACAAAAAAAGAAAGAAAGAAAGAAAGAAAAACCTGAAAGGCCAGTCATGGTGGCTCAGGACTGTAATCCTAGCACTTTGGGAGGCCAAGCTGGGGGGATCACCTGAGGTCAAGAGTTCGAGACCAGCCTGGCCAACATGGTGAAACCCTGTCTCTACTAAAAATACAAAAATTATCTGGGCATGGTGGTGCATGCCTATGGTCCCAGCTATTTGGGAGGCTGAGGCAGTAGAGCAGGGCTTGAACCTGGGAAGTAAAGATTGCAGTGAGCCAAGATCGTTCCATTGCACTGTAGCCTGGGTGATAGAGACTCCATCTCAAAAAACAAAAACAAAAATAAAAAACCTGAAAGATTATCTGCCAAGCAAAAGAAGACAGAAATCAGTGGAATTCTAAATTCAAAGGGCTGACAAGAAATAACTCATACTAGAATTCAACCCACCCACCCCTGAGTTGGAATTTTCAACGTCAAAATTCCACTCAGGGGTGTTTTTGTTACCTGTTACTGCACAACAAATAACTTTAAAACTTAGTGGCTTAAAACAACTACCACCAGCCAGGCACAGTGGCTCACGTCTACCATCCCAGCACTTTGGGAAGCTGAGGCAGGAGGATTCCTTGAGCCCAGGAGTTCAAGACCAGCCTGGCCAATACAGTACAACCCCATCTCTACAAAAAAATTCATAACGCCGGGCACGGTGGCTCACGCCTGTAATCCCAGTACTTTGGGAGGCCGAGGCGGGTGGATCACGAGGTCAAGAGATCGAGACTGTCCTGGTCAACATGGTGAAACCCCGTCTCTACTAAAAATACAAAAAATTAGCTGGGCATGGTGGCACGTGCCTGTAATCCCAGCTACTCAGGAGGCTGAGGTAGGAGAATTGCCTGAACCCAGGTGGTGGAGGTTGCGGTGAGCCAAGATTGCACCATTGCACTCCAGCCTGGGTAACAAGAGCAAAACTCCATCTCAAAAAAAAAAAAAAAAAAAAAAAAAAATTCATAAAATTAGCCAGATGTGGTGGCCTGTGCCTGTAGTCCCAGCTACTCAGGAGGCTGAGGCAGGAGGGTCACTTGAGTCCAGGAGGTCAAGTCTACAGTGAGCTGTGATCACGCCACTAAACTCTGGGCAACAAAGCAAGACCTTGTTTCAAAGAAACAAATAAATAAAAACCCACCACCATGTATTTGTTCACAATTCTGTAGTTTGGCAGGGCTCGGTTGGGATGGCTCATCTGTGTTCTATGCGGTGTTTTGGCTGAGGTAGCTCAACTGGAACTGTGAGATCCACCAGCTTCACTCACCCATTCAGTGACTCAGCTGAAGGGATCAGGATGGCTGGTGGCTGGCTGGGCATCCCTTTCTCCCTTTGTTGTCTTTCATCTTCCAGGTCCTTTCTCTCTCCAGTAAAGCAGGTGGACTTGGGCTGGGCACGGTGGCTCAAGCCTGTAATCCCAGCACTTTGGGAGGCCGAGGCGGGTGGATCACGAGGTCAAGAGATCGATACCATCCTGGTCAAAATGGTGAAACTCCGTCTCTACTAAAAATACAAAACATTAGCTGGGAATGGTGGCGCATGCCTGTAATCCCAGCTACTCAGGAGGCTGAGGCAGGAGAATTGCCTGAACCCAGGAGGCGGAGGTTGCGGTGAGCCGAGATTGCGCCATTGCACTCCAGCCTGGGCAACAAGAGCGAAACTCCGTCTCAAAAAAAAAAAAAAAGAAAGACAACTCTTCTGATGCGTTTATAAGGAGAGAAAAAAAAAAAAAAAGAAAGAAAGAAAGACAACTCTTCAGCATGTGCACGAGAATCTATCCTGAAGGGATTACACGTGGGTATCCACATAGGCAGCTAAGGAAGGCAGAGGAAATAAGCATCTCTGTTCCCCAAAGACCTTAGACATGCAAGATTCTATTCCAAGTCACTACTTTCCTGAGAGGGGCAGTGGATGTCTCCTTGAGAGGAAATCACCTTGGATAATTTTTGTATTTTTAATAGAGACAGGGTTTCACCATGTTATCTATGCTGGTCTCAAACTCCTGACCTTGTGCCTCATGATCCGCCCACCTCGGCCTCCCAAACTGCTGGGATTACAGGTGTGAGCTACCACGCACCTGGCTGCTTTTTTTTTTTTTTTTTTTTTTTTTTTTTTGAGACTGAGTCTCACTTTGTCACTGAGGCTGCATTGCAGTGGCAAAATCTCAGCTCACTGCAACCTCCACCTCCCAGGTTCAAGCAATTCTCCTGCCTCAGCCTCCTGAGTAACTAGGATTACAGGAATGCACCACTACACCCAGCTAATTTTTGTATTTTTGGTAAAGATGGGCTTTTGCCATGTTAGCCAGGCTTGTCTTGAGTCTTGATCTCAAATGATCTGCCTGCTTCAGCCTCCCAAAATGCCGAGATTATAAGAGTGAGTCATCGCACCCAGCCAAATTCCACATCTTCTTCGTCTTTTTTTGTTTTCTCCCTCTCTTGCCTTGGCTGGAGGGCAGTGTCAGGATCGTGGCTCACTGCAACCTCCGCCTCCCGGGTTCAAGTGATTCTTCTTTATCAGCCTCCTGAGTAGCTGGGACTATAGGCACACAACACCACGCCTGGCTAATTTTTGTATTTTTAGTAGAGATGGGATTTCACTATGTTGGCCAGGCTGCTCTCAAACTCCTGACCTCATGTGATCTGCTAACCTTGGCCCCCCAAAGTGCTGGGATTACAGGCATGAGCCACTGTGCCCGGCCAAATTCGACGCCTTAATGGGAGGAGTGACATACAGGAGTGGACAGAACTGTTGGTGGCATCTTTGTTGATAATTCACCACAAGAAGTAAACAGGAAATAAAGACTTTTTCATCAATGGGAAGCTCCACATGAAAACTTTCTAAAACAAAACAAAATTTAAAAATGAAAACAAGATCTTTTCAGAGGAAGACTGAAAGAGTTTATCCTAACATATCGGCAGCAAGAGAGCAGCTAACACCGTTTTGTTAAGAGAAAGGAAATTGACCTCAAAAGGAGTGAGAGAGCACTGAAAGCACTGAAGAGCTCAGACACTGGTAAACATGTGGGTAAGTCCACAGCAGACCCGTGGTGGGAACCACAGCAGCAATGACGCTGATTGGTTGGAGGCATGAAAACAAAGTCAGCCTGAGATGCCTGGTGACAGCCTGTAAGAAGGAAGGTGTGATCAGAGCTAAGGGCGCCACAGGCCTTTCCTCCTGCAGGGGACGATTTCTGATTAGCTGTAGATTCTGTAATTGAGGGCACATGTGAGAAATGTGGATAGAGGTAAGCATGAGAGACTAGGAGTGAAACCCATCAGTTCCAAGCCAAAGCGGACAAATGTATGAGCAATAAACAAATAAATAAAACTAGAAAAAGTAATAAAAGAGACTTAATACATTTTTTTTTTTCTTGAGACTGAGTCCATCGCTCTGTCACCCAGGCTGGAGGGCAATGGCGAAATCTTGGCTCATTACAACCTTCACCTCCTGGGTTCAAGCAATAAGAGACTCAATAAATTTGAGGCCGGGTGCAGTGGCTCACATCTGTAATCCCAACACTTTGGGAGGCTTGATTCAGGCAGATTATCTGAGGTCAGGAGTTTGAGACCAGCCTGGCCAATGTGGCGAAACCTCATGTCTATTAAAAATACAAAAAAATTAGCTGGGCATGGTGGCGTGTGCCTGTAATCCCAGCTACTCAGGAGGCTGAGGCAGGAGAATTGCCTGAACCCAGGAGGCGGAGGTTGCGGTGAGCCGAGATCGCGCCATTGCACTCCAGCCTGGGTAACAAGAGTGAAACCCTGTCTCAAAAAAAAAAAAAAAAAAAAAAAAAAAAAAAAAAAAAAAAGTAAGGCCGGGTGCGGTGGCTCAAGCCTGTAATCCCAGCACTTTGGGAGGCCGAGGTGGGTGGATCACAAGGTCGAGAGATCGAGACCATCCTGGTCAACATGGTGAAACCCCGTCTCTACTAAAAATATAAAAAATTAGCTGGGCATGGTGGTGCGTGCCTGTAATCCCAGCTACTCAGGAGGCTGAGGCAGGA